CACGTGGAGGGCTGTGCACATATCTGTCACTACTTCAGACTACGTGTATCTCATCGACGAAGATCGTGTGAACGTCGTCATAGTAGTCGTGACCATCCGGACTCGTAGTCGATATGTGTTGCATTTGCGCATTCGGTATGGACTCTGTACGAGACCGCTGGCGTAATCCAATGTCAAGAAAGAAGCCATTTTGTTGCAGAAGATTCGCGATGCAGAGGACGAAGCGGCTGCTCGTAAGGAGGAAGCTGCTCGCAAAGACGAGCAACAAGCTGTTGTTCTTATAGAGGAAGATGAGAAGAAACGCGACGTTAAAGACGATGAAAAGGACAAAGATACCGAGACACTTACAGCAGAACAGAAGGACGGTCAAGCAGAGACTGCTGACAGTCAGGACTCGAGTAGCAAGGCCCTTTATGAAGAGGCTTCGGGTCCTCCACCGCTTACGCCAGCTCGGGCGTCAACAAGGATCCGAACGCGAACGAGTATTAGCAGTGACGGTCCTGGCTCTGCCGCCCCATCGCCGCCGTCTCACAACCCGCGTAAACGCACACGTGGAGCTTCCGTGTCTGCGAGCGAAGACGTGAGTGGCTCAGAGAGTCACGACGCTTCTGCGTCTGAAGCGGACTCCAAGTCTCGTGGGCGTTCAAAGTCGGCGAAGACGCCAACAAAGCGAACACCGGCGCGTCGACGGCGTCCTGTGCTGCCCGCCACGAGAACGAGCTCACGTCAACAGAAGCGACGAGCTGCAGCCGCTGCTGCTGCTGTTGTGGACACTGGGGATGAGGAAGATCAAAGTGGAGGCGAGGCCTTGCTGGCAGTTGATGATGAGCATGAAAAAGAGAACGATGAAGCTGAAGAAACAGGAGAAGAAGAGCATGGAGAAGAGAATACTCCCAAGAAGAAGAAAGCTGCTTCGAAGTCGAGGTCAAGGAAGAAAGGTAGCCGCAAAAGATAAGGCAACATGGCTACAAATCAAATATAGCTGCTTCTTATTGGCTAAAACTTGTTTAGTTTCGCTGGTCGACCACAACTGTATCCGCATCCCACTCGTCGACTACCACGCTCTCCTCGATCCTCATGGCTGCTAACAAGCGACGCAGCGTAGTGCTACACTTCGATCTGAACCGTACGGTCCTCATGTCGGACGCTGCGGGTGGTCGCACCATGGAGAACACGGTGGATTATCTCTTGTCCGAGTGCACGTGGGGGTATGTGAACCCCAGCAGTCCATCCGAGTGGATCTGTGTCTCGGACGCGTCGTCTATTGAGCCCCCAGCGGCTGAATCTAGTGGGCACAAACTCATAACGTACAAGAAGTTTGTGGACGATTCTCACCCTTATCAGAGCTTGGCAACTGCTCAGGGCAGTGACATCGACCAGATTAAGGCAGTGAACAAAGCTGCGAAGAAGAAGCGTACGGCGTTACAATCAGCCTTTACAGGTGGAGACAGCGCCCCCGGTGAGCGTGTTCGCGATTCCTTTAAAGAGGTAATGGAGAAATTGCATTTCCCTATGGGAGAGCAGCGTGAAGCAGTTAAGCAATTGGCTATGACGATGCCCAAGTCTCGACTCCAAGAGGCTTGGAGTGAAGGACGCTACTACTTGTTGCCGTCCTTCCTACAGTTCTTGTCATATTTAGCGTCTCCTAAAGTGACGGACAAGGAGATGGATGTGAAGCTCGTTTTCCGCACCTTTGGCGATGACATCGTGGAGGTCGCGAAGGAGCTGGATCTCCTGGTGGACGGACAACATCCCGTCGGTCTACCCGCGTTGCCAGAGCGTTTCCGACTTAAGCTGGAGCCCAGTGCACGTCGTATCGGCACTTTCTATCGCGATGGCTTTGAGGCTGACGGCACGGCGTTGGCTGTGGGAACGCTCACCAAGGTTCCGTTTTCGTCCAAGCTCGTGGAGGAAGGGGCCAGTGCTCCCAACAGCTTTTACGCTACGTCAGATGCAGAAGTGAAGGTGATTCGAGGCTTCCAGTCGATTCAGGAGACTCTGGATGGCATGCTGCAGGGTGCTAGTACGCTTGCACTTCGTGACTACTGGGAGTGGTGGAGCGCTCATGCCGAGGACGGTCAATACGGGAAGTTGCTGTTGATCGACGAAGAGAAATTGCAGAAGGATGACGACGTTACTGTGTTTTTCGATGACCACATTGAGGCGCATCACTCTCACATTGTGGATGTTCGCGACGTTCGTTCGGGTGCTCCGGTGGACTTCGAAAAGAGCCGTGGCAAGTACCTTCAGCGAGTGGAGCCCTTCGCAGCCATCACGGACCCGAACTACTTCACGTCGCTGTTTGAAAAGTACGTGACCAAGTAGAGTAACTACATGTAGCTGGTTTGACTGCGTCACAGCTGAGTTCCGCCTTAGCGAACTGCCATTCAAACATTTGTTTTTTTGATATTCATATGTGGGGTATACTGTAAGGATGGTATATTCCTGTTTGGAAGCATTACAGTAAATGATCTTTTTAACCAATCACCAATGGTATATTCCTGTTTGGAAGCATTACAGTAGATGATCTTTTTAACCAATCACAAATCGATGGCCGACAAGAAGCGCACTTCGGGCAACTTTCTTGAGGAGAAGACGCAAGACAATGACTGTCCCAAGCGAGTACGCACAGACACCCCTCCAGTGAAGACACCCGCAGCATCTCTCCCTGACGCAGAGACAGAGCTTCTCCGTGCTCTAGAGGAAGAAATATTGAAAGAAGAAGAAAAGAACAAACATGACAAGAACAAGAAGTTTCCGCCAGAAGAAGAAGACGATGACTACGACGAATCAGATGAAGAATAATTGAGGAATATTATGGAGGAGGTGGCTTTGTAAGCTCTTCATTGAGCCATCCATTCAACGTACGGACGCTGTCTCGGTCTTGGACACAGCACTCGGCCGCATTCGTGAAGATTGAGGAGACTGCAGAGGAATTCGCGTTTGCCTCCGACCTTTCCGCAATTGATGATAAATCAGTTGCCTCCGCAACAGATGCCGACGGAGTTGCATTATCCGATGCAACAAATTCCGCAACAACAGTCTCCGTCTCCAGCTTCAGCGGGTGAGAAGCGCAAGATGAACAGCGAACGACCAGCGTTCCCGACGGATCGTTCGAGCAAGATGTTCAAGCCCGCGAGTGGCGTCCCGCAGTCTGTGCCAATTTAAATGGGACACACACGGACCAAGGACAGGAATGAAGTCTATTCTTTTAGAAAGTTGTTTTTATGAGCGTGCCGTTAGCTGCGCGTGCTGCTGGATATGAAGCGTGTGCTCTGGGAGTAAGAGCAAACGCGCTGGGCAGCCGACGTTGCAGCGCACCTTACCACGCTGTGCAGATATGATTTTTTGTGTGATTGCCGAAAGGCCCGCACGTAAGGGCCTGTTTCGTTAAATAAAAGTTTCGGTATTTATTGTTGAGCGGCAGAGTGCGTCGACTATGAGTTGAGAATGGACCAACGCCGTCAACCCGGTAACGTGGGAGCTTCAAATGCAGTCACTGTTCTTTGCAGCCCCTGCAGCTGTAGCTGGTGAACTGCCAGTAATCAAAGAAGACGTAATAGTAATTCCACTGGCGCTTCAACTGTCCTTTCAATGACTTATTGATGATTGACTACGTGGCACTGTAGCGTTTGTCCACTAGCTCCTTTGACATGAGAACCTGAAGCTTGAAAAGAGCCTCGGCGGCACTTGGCCTCATGGTCGGATCGACGGACACGCAGCTGTAGCCAAGATCCGCCATGGACTTCGGACCTGCATCCGAAAACGTTACCGTTACAGTTCCCGTGACCACCTTTTGCAGTAGAGTGGCGTCCGTCATTTGCCGTCCATGCGAGTTCTGCATCTCCTGTCTGGCCTGAGCGTACGGTAAAGTGTGGGTGTCCAGCTCGCTCAACACAACTCCAAACGAGAATATGTCGGCCTTGTCATCGTATTTCTCGGCGGTCATCACTTCAGGAGCCATCCACATCGATGTCCCCACCCCAGCCGTCATTGTCCGTTCAAGTCGTTCTCTTGAAATCCCAAAATCTGTTAATTTGGCTTTGTGTAAGTCGTTTAATAAAATATTTCTGGACTTTAAGTCACGATGGATCACTGGAGGCTCCAAGAAATGCAAGTATGTGAGGGCATGACACACGTGCAATGCGATAGTCACTTTTTCACGGTCAAATCCGACCGGGTGACTTGATTTCTCGTAGCTCTCGAGTAGTGTACGCAGATCACCGCCTTCCATGAACTCCAGAACCACACACAAATCAGAGAGAGAATCCCACGCGACGCCAATGCACGCTACAATTCGAGGGTGCTCCATGCTTGCTGCGAATTTTGCTTCAGCCAGAAACTCGTTCACGAGGTGAATATCGCGGCGAGTACTCGGAAGCAGCATCTTGATTGCGACGTGGTTGTTGTTGTAGATGCCAGCATACACCTCACCGAACGCACCGCGGCTGATGAGCTTCAAGGCGCGCACTTTTTCACGCGGAATGCGGTTCGCAGTGATGATATCATCATCCCACAGTCGACCTGACCATGGTTTGCTCTGGTGCCCAGCTGACGAACGAGGAAGAATCCAAATACAGCGAATGCAACGAGAACACAGGCAACAACAATCCCGACAGTTGCAGCTGTCCCGAGGGTAGTTGGGCTTGTCAGAGTAGTTGGGGTAGGAGGTAAAGGTACCGTATAGTTCTCAGCTAACCATCGAGATACCCAGTCACTTCCTTTCACGACTGTCAGATGCGATCCTAACGAAAGTATATTCGTCGTAGGAGCGCATGGAATCACAACAGAACCATACAGTGGACATTCATCTTCGTGTGAAGTTTCGTAAGGCTGTGTTTGAATGAAAAGAAGAGTCGCGTTCCCGCCATCTTGATTCCACCAAACGTGCTTTACCACATGGGGCGATGGAACCAAATCGAGATGTGCGGCAGTGCTAGTTGTCCAAACCATTGTTCCATACTCGAAATCTTCTTGAGTATCCTCGATAAGACATCGGTTAAACAGTGGTACTTTATCCCCATAGCAAAACATTTGACTGTATTTCGTGCCGTCGGGCTGGCTGCAGTTGAGCACGTCGCATCCAGCGTCTTCAAAATCGTCTAGCGAGAATACTAAATCGTCCATCGAGTGTTTGCCATCGGTGAATATTTGGATAGGTTTACCGAAGGTTGAATACCCAAATCCAGTATCCCAAAGCAGCGCGCGCTGAGCAATTCCGTCCAAGCTGTCCCATTCGAGCTCGAGGCTAGCAAGTCGACCCCGTACTGCATCCGGTACACTCGTTAGGTCAAGTTGCTCAGCGGAATCCCCAGCAAGAGCCCGAAAATAGAGTTGCCGGGCCATGTCAGAATTGTTGCGACCAAAGACAAATGAACCAGAAGACGGGAGCTGAGGTAGCTCAGCATCTAAGTAGGAACCCCAGCTCGAAGCCGAGGTTAAACGACGAGTACCCATTAAAATACCAATGGAGGCGCGTGCGCAAACAATCGAAAACGAATGTGAGGCTTATTGGAAAGAACGTCAAGAAATTCAACGGCCATCGTCCGTCCGTAGTACGGGTGGGTGTGGGTACCTGATTTGCGCATAAGACGACAGCTCATTTTTCTCTCCGTACTGGTCTGGGCATCTGGCACCTCGCGTTGAATGTACATGCTCAGGTTGTATTTCCTTTTCGTGCCAGTTTTGGCAATACCAGCTTATTTCTTAATTATCGTTTGCGAAGCTCAAAGTCCGAAGATCATACCTGGTGTCGCTGTTTAGATGATTGGCTGTTATTCATCTTTCGCGTTTGGCTACGAATATCTACCCTAGCTATAATATCCGCTTCTACTATTGAGTCAGTGACTGACGATATTTTCATGTGACTTAGCACAGGAGCACAATGTGTATTGGGTTGAGATTGACCACCAGCTTGCTGCTGCCATAGGTTACCTTTAAAAAGGTCAGTATAACTATTACAGTTAAATTGTAGATTTTACTGAAACCTTTGCTTTAGCTATCCGTTATTTCGTCAAAACAATAATTCATTTACTATTTTAGCCCTGTCTATAGTTGTATTCAAGCAAGTACCACTCTGGCCCACTTAAGAATCGACATTTTAATTTAACGTCATTGTAATGTGGGCCACATTTGGCTTTTTAATTGGACAAAAGATTGGTCTATATC